ACTATATATTGGTGTTATATAGCGAATTACGTGATAATTTAATTGAATTAAGCCTCAAAAGAGTCATTTGTTATAATTATATGTTGCAACAATTTCGTTATATGTTGCGAATTTAACAACAGAAATTGCATATGTTGCTATAGATGAAAAATCAAGGAGACACTAATAGACGATTCGATCAATTTAGAAAATAAAAAATGGAAATTTAAATTTTTTTTATTGATTTAGAACATAAATAATCAATAATAATAAGGTATAACAATGGAGTGTTGTGTACGACCATATTTGTTATATCATAATTCAAAAATAAGTACAAAACAAGTGAAGGAAACATTTTCACCATATGTAATATAATATGTTGCCACATATATATTTTCAAAATAGATACAAAAAATAATAAAATCAACATCGTCTTCAAGACAGATTAAATTAAATTATTCCCACACAATAGTATGTGGAAGAAATTTAACTAGATAATCTAGTTGTAAATCACAAATACACAATTCGCAATGAATATCGTCTTTATTGTCTCTTCCTCTAAGCCAATCGAACCTACATACATTTTGTTGGGGTTGATGCACAGTGCAACAAATGGGTCTTAAACCCAAAATATTAGGTTCTTGCACCCACATTCGCTTTAAAATGCACCGCAAATGATGTCGACATCTTCTCACTATTATTACTTGCATGTTTTTTTTAAATTTGACAATATACATCAAGCCTTCTCTCATGGAAATACCGCCTTCAAAGATTGAAATTATGACAAGCACATACTCTGCACCACGGTGGACACCTTCTGTTGGTTTTTTAACCATTCTTAGTGCAGTTGAATCATTAGGATTGAAAAAATCAAACTATAAAAGAAACAACACATTAAGATTACAAAATAAATTGATGCAAGGTGAAAAAGAACTAAAAATAGTAAAATTACCACGTCTTTTCTGTATAAGGCTTCTAAGTTCTCCGATTCTATGTAAATATTCATTAAAGACACGACATGTTGATTCGTCGTCCATGTAGGTTCAGTGGGAAAGCTAGCCAATGTAACCTTCTGATATACATAACGTTCATTACCAACTTCATTGAGGAACCTAGAACATAATTTAACACTAACTAAATCTTCTAGAGAGTAGGAAGCAACCCTTTCAACGATAAGAATTACTAGTTCAGTCGGGAGGGATTCTAAGAGGTTTAAACTATTTGAAGCCATTTTTGAGAATGCAGAAGAAGAGAAGACAACTTTTGACTTATCTCTCCCTTGTTGTGTTCTTATAAAGGCCAAACATTTTGAAATGTTGCAAGACATGACGTTTCAACAAAGTGAACTGAATAGTCATAATTATTAAACAAAAGATATTATCGAATAGCACACTCCCACTTAATCATAAGTTAAAAGTATATTGAGACAGATGATTATATGTAGCAACATTTAAGTCATATGTTTCTACAACTGATTCGCCTGTAGCAACATTTGTTGCATATGTTGCCACATCTAATTCATCTAAAAGCACTCTCCCACGTAATCATTATTTAAAAGTATATGTTGCTACAGATGTAGCAACATTTGAGTCATATGTTGCTACAAATGATTGTATGTAGCAACATTCATCTGTCACAACATATGACATATGTTGCTACAACTACTTGTCTGTAGCAACATTTATTGCATATGTTGCCACATGTAATATATCTAAAAGCACACTCCCACATAATCATTATTTAAAAGTATATGTTGCCATAGATGATTATATGTAGCAACATTTGGGTCATATGTTGCTACAGATGATTATATGTAGCAACATTCGTCCGTCACAACATGTGGCATATGTTGTTACAGCTGATTCGTTTGTAGCAGCATTTATTACATATGTTGCCACATCTAATATATCTAAAATCACACTCCCACGTAATCATTATTTAAAATTATATGTTGCTACAAATGATTATATGTAGCAATATTTGAGTCAAATGTTGCTACAACTAATGCATATATCGCAACATTTGTCTGTCACAATATTTGAGTCATATATTGCTACAAAATGATTATATGTAGCAACATTTGAGTCAAATGTTGCTACAACTAATGCGTATATCGCGACAGTCGTTCTTCACAACATTTGAGTCATATGTTGCTACAGATGATTATATGTAGCAACATTTGAGTCATATGTTGCTACATATAATCATCTGTTACATATAATCATCTGTGGCAACATATACTTTTAAATAATGATTACG